CCTCCCACCCTTCCTTCCTTCCTTCCTTCCTTCCTTCCTTCCTTCCTTCCTTCCTTCCTCCCTCCCTCCCTCCCTTCCTTCCTTCCTTCCTCCCTCCTTCCTCCCTTTCTTCCCTTTCCTTCTTTTGTTTTTTCACACAGTCTCACTCTGTTGCCCCAGCTGCAGTGCTGCGGCGTCAGCCTCGCTCACAGCAACCTCCAACTCCTGGGCTCAAGCGATCCTCCTGCCTCAGCCTCCCGAGTAGCTGGGACTGCAGGCATGCGCCACCGTGCCCGGCTAATTTTTTTTCCTATATATGTTTACTTGGCCCATACATTTCTTTCTATTTATAGTAGAGACGGGGTCTCGCTCTTGCTCAGGCTGGTCTCGAACCCCCGACTTAGAGCGATCCTCCCGCCTCTGCCTCCCAGAGCGCTAGGATGACAGGCATATGAGCCGTCGCGCCCGGCCGGCGCCTCTTTCTTGCTGTTTGACCCTTGGAGGAGTCCATTCTCCTCTCTGTGCCTCGGTTTCCCCACCTGGGAGATGGGGTGGGGGTGAGAGGCGCCCACGCACGCGGGGTGCGGCGAGCATTGCGTGAGACGGCGTTCATGAGGCGCTCGGCCAACCTCGGCCGTGGCGGGGGTCTGCCTGCCCGCGGGGCCGCCGTGGTGGCTGTCCCGACCACCCCCACCGCACCCGAGGGCCTGCACTGGCCTGGCGCGCATCGGGCGCTCCGTGAAGACTTTCCCACGGGCAGGAGCCCCCGAGAGGCGGAGCGAGCCCCGCCCGTCTGCAGGGGAGGAGGGTGCGGGCCGCGCCAGCGCCCGGCGCCGAGCGGAGCAGGGCTGAGGGGCCGCGGCCTCTCTCCTGCTGCTGCCGCCAGTGTGACTTTGCTTCCTCCAGCGTGTTATCTGCAGATAAGGCCGCACCCGCCTGCCGGGCGGCCGGTGGGGGCAGGCGCGGCGGGGAGGGGTGTCCCCTCCCCCTAGCAGGTCATCGTGGGGGCAGCTGAGGCCGGGCGGGCAAAGGGCCCGGATGTCCCGGCACGCTGGGCTGCTACAGCGCACAAGCGAGTGACGAACGTCCACTTGGCACATGGCGACCCAGCTCCTCCGAGGGGCCGCCCCACCCTGGGCGCCGGGAGATGCTCGGGTGGGACAGGTGGCCCCCATGCGAGGGTGGGGCGGATCCTACACAGCGATCACAGCCGGGCGCCGTGGCTCACACCTGTATCCCAGCACTCTGGGAGGCCGAGGCGGGAGGATCGCTCGAGGTCAGGAGTTTGAGACCAGCCTGAGCAAGAGCGAGACCCCGTCTCTACTATAAATAGAAAGAAATTAATTGGCCAACTAAAAACATATATAGAAAAAATGAGCCGGGCATGGTGGCGCATGCCTGTAGTCCCAGCTACTCGGGAGGCTGAGGCAGGAGGATGGTTTGAGCCCAGGAGTCTGAGGTTGCTGTGAGCGAGGCTGACGCCACGGCACTCACTCTAGCCCAGGCAACAGAGCGAGACTCTGTCTCAAAAACAAAAACAAACACAAAACAATAGCCATCACCCACGCGGGTCACCACTTAACCGCAGGGCTTGCCCGGGCGGAGTTGGGGGACCTCACAGTAGCTGCCAACGGGACAATTTTCAAGCATTTCCCGGTGCCTCAGGGAGGGCGCCGTCTCCGTGGACACCCGGGGCTCCTGGAGGCAGGTTCTACTGGAGGCCTGTTTTCAAAGTTGGAAACTGAGGCACAGAGAGGCTTTCCCAGGTCACCCCGCAGGGCAGGGCCTGTACCCCTGGCGTTTCGGGGGACGCGTCCCTTGCCGGGCTGGCCGGGCTGGGCTGGGCTGGCGGGTTTCTCCCCGGCCCTCACGCCCCCCACCCCCCGCCCCCGCCCGGCCGCAGGTGCTGTTTCTGCGGTGGCACGAGACCAGGTGCACCAACGCCAGCTTCCTGCTCAACGGCGACGACGACGTCTTCGCGCACACGGACAACATGGTCTCCTACCTGCAGGGCCAGGACCCGGGCCGCCACCTCTTCGTGGGCCACCTGATCCAGAACGTGGGCCCGATCCGCGCGGAGTGGAGCAAGTACTACGTGCCGCGCCTGGTGACCGAGGCCGAGCGCTACCCGCCCTACTGCGGCGGCGGCGGCTTCCTGCTGTCGCGCTTCACGGCGGCCGCGCTGCGCCGCGCCGCGCGCGCGCTCGACCTCTTCCCCATCGACGACGTGTTCCTGGGCATGTGCCTGGAGCGCGAGGGGCTGCGGCCCGCCTCGCACGGCGGCGTGCGCACGGCCGGCGTGCCCGCGCCCGCGCGCCGCCTGTCCTCCTTCGACCCCTGCTTCTACCGCGAGCTGCTGCTCGTGCACCGCTTCCTGCCCTACGAGATGCTGCTCATGTGGGACGCGCTCAGCCAGCCCCGGCTCGACTGCGGCAAGCGCGCGCGCGTCTACTGAGGCCGCCGCCACGGGGTCCCGGCCTCTGCGCTCCGTCTGCGCCCCGCCCGCGTGGGGAAGGGGCGGCCCCTTCCTCCCCGGAAGCTGAGCTGCTCGCCCTCCGCCGTGAGCCCCGCGTAGGGGAGTGCCGGGGAAGGTTGGAGGAGTGAACGCTCTGGCCGGCGAACTCCTACACATCCTCCAAAACCCATCTGGTGGGCCGGGCGCGCTGGCTCATGCCTGTCATCCCAGCGCTCTGGGAGGCCCGGGCGGGAGGATCGCTCAAGGTCAGGAGTTCAAGAGCAGCCTGAGCAAGAGCGAGACCCCTAGTCTCTACTAAAAATAGAAAGAAACTAGCCGGACAACTAAAAGTATATAGAAAAAAAATTAGCCGGGCGTGGTAGCGCACGCCTGTGGTCTCAGCTACTCCGGAGGCTGAGGCAGGAGGATGGCTTGAGCCCAGGAGTCTGAGGTTGCTGTGAGCGAGGCTGACGCCAGGGCACTCACTCTAGCCTGGGCAACAAAGCGAGGCTCTGTCTGAAAAAAAAAACCCAACCACCTGCAGCTGCTGGGCACCCGCCCGCCTGCCCGGGTGGCCGGAGGAACCCTGAGAACGCCGTCTCGTTTCCATGGCAGCAGCTCTGCCCGGCGCGGGCTGTGGGCGCATCTGCCCTGTGGAGGTCGAGGTCCCTCCTCCCGCCCCGGCCTCCGACACGGACTGGCCTCAGCCGTGGGCAGCTGCTGCTGGGGCGGCGCGCGGCTTCGCGGTGGACGGGTCTGGCCCGCGCCCGGCCGAGCGAGAAGAGTTTCCCAGCCCAGCGGGGAGGGCTCCCGGTCCCGGTCGCTTCCTGGGGCTGGAGCCCCTCAGGGGGCGGAGGGGACACAGCGGCTGCGGGACGGGGCCGCCCCTCGTGGCTTGGGGCTTCCGGGGCTCAGACGGCGGGAGCGGCCGCGGGGGAGCCCGGAGTTCCCGCGGAGTCCCCGGCCCCTCTCTGTGCCGCCCAGGGCTGCGGGGCGGCGCTGGGCTGGGAGGCGCCCCGGTGCCCGGCCCGTTTGCACACCGCCCGCCGCCGGGGCAGAGGCAGGCCCGGGTCCTCGGGCGCCCCGCCCCCCACCGCCCCGTGCATTTCAGGGATTGGGGGTCCGGGTGAGCTGGGGTCCCCTGCGGTCCCCGCCGCCGGGCGTGGGGACTGAGGCCCCGCGGCGTCGCAGCTGGGAGGGGGCCTCCGACGAGCTGGTCCTCAGGGAATAAAACGTTTTGTGAAGACCCAGGGAACTTTTTTTTTTTTAATTTTGGCATATTATGGGGGTACAGATTTTAAGGTTTCAATAAATGCCCATTTTCCCCTCCCCCCACAAGTGTGGGTCTCCAGCGTGCCCATCCCCCAGACGGTGCACGTCCCACTCGTGTGTGCACCCGCCCCCCGCCCGCCTGCCCAGTGCCCTCTTACTGCAGGGCCTGTGAGTCCACCCAGGTGCTGCCCAGCTAGTGCCAGTTTGCTGGTGAGCGCGCGTGGTGCTTGTTTGTCCATTCTTGGGGAACTTCACTTAGTAGTATGGGTTCCAGCTCTATCCAGGAAAACATAACATGTGCTATGTCACCGTTGTTTCTTAGAGCTGAATAGTACTCCGTGGTATACATAGACCACATCTTATTAATCCATTCTTGGATTGATGGGCACCTGGGCTGTTTCCACAGCCTTGCGATTGTGAATTGTGCTGCTAGAAACTTCTTCTTCTTCCTTCTTTTTTTTTTTTTTTTTAAAGAAGCAGTTTACAAGTGTGACCAGAGAGGAGCCCAATCTGTCCCTAAAAAGGCTTATTTCCGGGCGGGGAATGTCGACCGCTGCAGGGTCTCCACCATGCAGCTCTGGCCACACCCCGCCCCTGCTCACACACCCGCCGTGGCTCCCTAGTGCCCTGGGCTCCTCCGCTCCAGGCCGGGCTCTGGCTGCGGGCGGTCAGCAGGGCAGGGGGCAGGAGGCGCAGCGTGGGGCGCCCAGCCTTCCAGCAGGGTCCCTTCCGGATCCCGTCCCGGCCGCCACCCAGCCTCCCCAGGCTGGCCATGCCCCGCCGGGACCGCGGCTCCGCCCCTCTCTGCCCCTCGTCCTTTCCTTCCTGGCACAAGCATTTATCGTGCGCCTGCTGTGTGCCACACGCCTTGCCCTGCACTTCCCTCCTTCCCAGGAGAAGAGTCAGCGACTGGCACCAACCCAACCCGCGGGTGATCACACAGGAAGTGAGAACGTGGAAGAGACGCGGGGAGTGCGGACAGGCATTAGCCCGGAGCTCAGGGAGCCAGGACTGTGGAGCCGAGGCCAGAAGAGGGAGGACGAGACCCCGGGGAGGACCGAGGGTGAGGCTCGGGGGCGGAGGGCACGGCGGGGCACGTGCAAAGGCCCCGAGGCAGGATGGGCGGGGGGGGGTGTCTCGGGGGCGCAGCGGGAGTGACATAAGGGAAAGGTGGAAGGAAGCAGGGCGGGGTGGGGTCACACAGGCCTGGCCACTCGGCCTTACGGGCTGGGTGAGGAGAGGGGGTCATGTGAGGGTCATGGTACCTTGGGAGCAAGGAGGTGACATGATTGATGTTTAAGTTTTAAGAAGCCGAGGCCGGGCGAGGTGGCTCACGCCTGTCATCCCGGCTCTCTGGGAGGCTGAGGCGGGAGGACTGCTCAAGGTCAGGGGTTCGAGACCAGCCTTAGCAAGAGCGAGACCCCGCCTCTACTAAAAATAGAAAGAAATTAATTGGCCAACTAATATATATAGAAAAAATGAGCCGGGCATGGTGGCGCACGCCTGTAGTGCCAGCTACTTGGGAAGCTGAGGCAGGAGGATCGCCTGAGCCCAGGAGTTTGAGGTTGCTGTGAGCTAGGCTGACGCCACGGCACTCACTCTAGCCTGGGCAACAAAGCGAGACTCTGTCTCAAAAAAAAAAGAAGTAAAGATAGAAAGAAATTGGCTGGACAACTAAAACTATATATAGAAAAAATTAGCCGGGCGTGGTGGCGCATGCCTGTAGTCCCAGCTACTCGGGAGGCTGAGGCAGGAGGATCGCTTGAGCCCAGGAGTCTGAGGTTGCTGTGAGCGAGGCTGACGCCACGGCACTCACTCTAGCCCGGGCGACAGAGCCAGACTCTGTCTCAAAAAAAAAAAAAAAATGAAGCCGAGAAATGGCTGCTGTGGGGATGGGCCATGGGGGAGGCTGAGGCTGAGGCGCATCCGGCAAGAGACTCCGGCCCGGAGGAGGCGGGGCTGCAGGGGTTTCTAACAGGTGCATCTGCCCTGGCCTGCCCTGTTCACACACCCGCTGTGGCTCCCTATTGCCCGGGGGCGGGGCAGTCCCGGCTCCCCTGCTGCGCGGACCGGGAGGTGCCCCCGCGGGGCCTCGCGTCCGCTTGGACGTGAGCCGGAAGTAGTGTCTTTCCGGACGGGGCCGAGGTAGAGACCGAGGTTTTATCCCGGATCGGGGTGAGACCTAAACCCGGCCATGCCCGTCCCTGCAAGACACGGGAAGGGAGGCGCGATCACGGAACAGGCCACGAGGCCCACCGCAGGCAGAGACGGGAGTGAAGCGGCCACAGGCCGACGGTGGCCAGGAGAGAAGCCGGCACGGACCCTCCCTCCCACCTTGCCGACACCTCGGTCCGGACTCCCGGCCTCCAGAACCGCAGCAGGACTCACTCCCGTTGTCTCAAGCCGCCCAGCCTTTGGTCATCTGTGACAGCAGCCCTGGAAACCGCGGGGCTGGCTCACACACGCGCACAGCCGGGTTCGCGGTACCAGGGGTCACATCCTACAATCCCCGAGTCGGGGTGAAGGGAGGGTGCGGTGAGGAACAGCCGGGGCCGGATGGACAAACGTCTGCTGCGACGGTCACTCGGACACACGTGTGTGTGTGTGTGTGTGTGTGCATCGTTCTAGGCCCTTGGTGGAGACCCAGGTTCAGGTCCTGCCGGTAGCCACGCCCTCTCCCCGGGCCTCAGTTTCCCCACTTTGTGTTACGTTGGCATCAAGCTCCCGGAAGTGTTGGTGCGTTCGTGTTTGGGGGGGGACAGGCTCACTCAAGGGCTGACCAAGGCTTGTCCCTTTTGCTAGAGAAAATGCAAGAAGCTGCTTTGGATTATTTATTTCCTGGGGGGCAGGGAGCGAGGAGGAGGGTGACATGCGGGGTGGGGGGGAGTCTGGAGCGTTTCCTCTGCGCAGGGCAGCTGGGCGGGAGCCGGAAGCCTCCGGGCTGCGGTCGGGGCTCGTTTCATTCCCCAGTTGGCGCCACAGAGGGCTGGCGGGGCGCTGGCCTGGGGTAGGTGGTGAGCACCCCGCCCCAGGGGGTAATTAACAACGTCCCCCGCAGAGGTGGGACTTCCTGGCGCTGTGTGGCCTGGGGAGCTCAGGAGACCCGACCAGACCCCTCTGGGCCCCCCCAGGCTGCCTCAAGCGGGGTCAGTGGGGGCAGAGGGTCAGCAGGTCCTGCGGGCTGCAGCCACTGAGGCAGCAGCGACGAGCCGGGTTGGCGCTGGCCGCGCGGTGGCGGCGGTGCCGCGGGGAGGCCTGGGGCCGCGGTGGCAGGCCGGGTGCCAGCGCAGGGTCGCTGTGGGCCACCAGCCCCAGGAGCAGATGCCGCCTCTCCAGCCACTGCAGCAGGTCGCCTGCGGACAGAGCGGGACTCAGCGGGGCGGGGACCCCAGAGGACGCCTGTGCCGTGCGCGCGCTCACATCCCGCCAGGCCACCCACCAAACGCTCGCGGCTCGCTGCCCTGCCGGGCAAGTGTTTGTTTTTTTTAAATTAGCCGGGCGTGGTGGCGCGTGCCTGTAGTCCCAGCTACTCGGTAGGCCGAGGCGGGAGGATCGCTGGAGCCCAGGAGATCTAGACCAGCCTGAGCGAGAGCGAGACCCCGTCTCTCTGTACAATAGGGAAAGGGAGATTAGATTGGCAACTAAAAATAGATAGAAAAAATGAGGGGGCATTAGGTGGGCCGCATGCTTGTATCCCAGCTACTCGGGGAGGCTGAGGCAGGAGGATCGCTGCGAGCCCAGAGATTCGAGGCTGCACTGAGGGACGATGGGGCCACTGCTCTCGAGCCTGGGTGACACAGCCAGTTCCCCTCTCAAAGACCCACAGCAATCAAGACGTGTATTTTAATGCAATACTTTTAAGATCAAAATTAATACAAAAAATTCTTGGAGATAAAAATATTGACCTTTTTTTTTTTTCTTGAGACAAGATCTTGCTCTGTCACCCAGGCTGGAGTGCCGTGGCGTCACCACAGCTCACTGCAGCCTCCTGGGCTCCTGCAAACTCCTGGGCTCAAGCGATCTCCTTGCCCCAGCCTCCAGTGCCAGCCAAAATACTGGCATTTTCAATAACGACAGGATCCCGCCGTTCGCTTACGACGCGCGGCTGCCGCTCCTCGCTTTGCCTCGGGCCCAGTTTCTGGACCGGGGACAGGGGAACAGGATCCGAGGACGCGTTCAGCGGCTCGCTGGTGCTCCCCAAGGGAGCCCGCCCGCCCGCCGGGGACGCGCACCCGCACGTGGCGCGCGCACCTGACCGGCCCGCTCCCAGGGCGCCCGCCGCCGCCGGACTCACGTCGCGCCGGCCACCGGGGCCTCCCGGCTCAGGGGACCAGCGCGGGGCGCCGCACAGGGCGCACTGGGGGAGCGCGCGCAACGAAGTGGGGTGGCCGCACGTCTTCCCGCGCAGCGGGGGGGCGCGTCGGGCCCAGCGCGCACGCCAGGCCGGCGCCCAGCAGCGCCAGCGCGCACGCGCACACGCGGGGCCCCATTGGCGCGGCAGTGCCCGGCCGGCGCGCGACCCCCTCTTATAGGCGCCGGGGCCCCCGCAGCTGGGGACCTTGGAATGGGACAGAGCGTTCCGCAGCCCTGCCCGGGGGAGGGCCAAGGCTGGGGTCAGTGCTAGGGCCCCGCTCCCAGGGCCGGGGCCTTGGGCTTAGCTCCCCCCGCCCCGGAGGAGCACTGGGAGGGGAGTCTGAATTTATTTGTTTTTGTTTATTTCTTTTTTTAACTGCTTTAAAGAGGTGACATAGAGCCCACGCATGTAGTCCCAGCACTCTGGGAGGCTGAGGTGGGAGGATCGTTTCAGCCCAGGAGTTTGAGACCAGCCTGGGCAAGAGAAAGACCCCATCTCTATAAAAAAAAAGAAAAAGAAAAAAGAAAAATTAGCCAGGTGTGGTGGCACCGGCCTGTAGCCTCAGCCGCTCGGGAGGCTGAGGCAGGAGGATCGCTTGAGCCCAGGAGTTGGAGGCTGCAGTGAGCTGTGATCGTGCCACTTGTACTGGGCAACAGACGGACGCGGGACAGGAGGCCAGTTCGCCGTCTCCAAGGAGGCACTCCCCCACCGATGCTGCAGTTTC